AAGGATCTGACCATGACGATGTTTTTATATCTGCTAACATCAGTTCATAGATGTCGTACTTCGGTCAGTCCACAGTATTGGCTCATTCAAACTACTTTTACTGCGCAGGCGGTTTTCCATGTTATAAGTGTTCAATGTGCGTGACCGGAGTCAGCATTCGTGCCGAGGTATCAGACGCGTTCGAGAGTCACACCGGTGAAGAACTACCTGCTGATCCGCGTGATCCAATATCGTGAGTACCATTTTACGATAAAATAGTAATATTTAATTCTTTATTTATCGAAATTTCATTCCCGAATGAAGATAAATCGAAACCCCATTCTACAGTGAACTGTTATATTAAAAAATTTTAAATTAAAAGTTGCGAAAGTAGTTGTTTCACAACATTTAACTGTTGTTACATGTACTTGCACATTTTCGAGAATTCTTGCATTACTTGTAAAAAGTTATATCATTATACAGCATATTACACGAAGTTATCAATAATTTTTTAAATATATTATTTCTTCAATTTTGGAGTTGCAAAGTTTATTTAATTGAAGATTTAATCAAGAAAATTTTTCATTTTTTTTGAGTATTCAATTTTGTTGTGTATTCACGAGATCTTAATAAATCGTTTATTATTATTTAATTTTCACAATAAAATGTGCATTGAGATTGTTTAAATAATATCACAATTATTTGACAATTAATAAAAATAATTAACTAATTCGACAATTTATATAATTATCTAGATTCTATTCTCAAGGACTTTGCCAAACTCGAAAATATTGTGGTATCAGTATTCGAAGATATTATTATTTATGTCTTTATTTATCTTCATGAAGGACGACGTCCAGAATTTCTCTTTCAACATTTTTGTAGAGTGCCTCGATAAATTGATTTAAAATGTTATGTTTTGACAAATTAATTGATTAAAAATTTTATTTAATATAATATGCAAAAATGAATAGATGTGAGAAATACTTTCATTGAAAAGTTTTAGAAAGTTTAATATAAAGATTATTTATTTATATATCATTAAATGCGCCTTAAGAATATCAATAATTATTTTCAGTAATGTCTAAATGAATCGATTTTGTCAAGTTTTTAGTTTATTTTAAAATGATTTGTTATATTTTTCTATGCATGTGTTTAAATATATTTATAATAAAATTATATTTCCTTAGAATTTTAAGTAAGTTAAATCATTCTTGTAAAAATATGTTTTTATTTAGAAATTATATTTTCAACGTACGCGTGATAAACTTGTGTGAAAGCATGACGACGGAGGTGGCGCAACTTCCCCATCTAAAGGTCTTTGATCGCGTAATGGAATTACCCATTGTTGAGTTGGCGGTCGTCAAATCCGCAGAGACATATTCCAGAGTGAAGGGTTCGTATCAATTGATGAATTGGGCTCTGAGCACCGCCGAATTTTCACTAAGCACCGCTACGAGACAAGCGATGCCCATCGCAGTACCCATCGCAAAAAGACTTGAGACTCCCATCAATTTCGTCGATAATACATTGTGCCTTGGTCTTGATAAAATCGAAGAAAAAGTGCCGTTAGTGAAGGAGAAACCCGCACAGGTTTGTGACAGAACCTTTTTCTATCATATAATTATAATTAATAAACATTAATTTATTGAAATATATTCAGTTTGTATTTTTTAATAAATTCAAAGTTGAAATTTAAAAAGTAAGTACATTAATATATATTGGATATACTTCTTTTTTAGATTTTAGAGAAGGCGGTGTCAAGAATTTCGCATGTAAACGATTTGATTCTTGAACAAGCGACGAATTTGCGAGACATCAGCTGGAATACGGCCAATCAAATACTCGATACACGCTATGGCACTGTGGCCGTGAGAGGTATAGATAACACGGCCGTTGTCGTTGATAAACTCATTGACAGATATTTTCCCGCAACAGAAGAAGAAAAACCGATAGGTAAAGCGTAAAATTTTAAATTCTTGACATTTTATTGAAGCAATTAAAGTTTATATATATATATATATATATATTACTAAATAAATGTACTATAAAAAGTATACATAAATTAAATAAATTCTTTATTATTTAAAACAGAATATTCTAAGGAAAAGTAACTTTACAGCGTAATGAAAGTCGATGGTGTTATGAGTCAACGAGAAAGTTAGTGAAAGTAGCTAACTCTACAATAAGAGTTTATCGTCGTAATTATGATAGGCACTGAATTACCATTTTCCCTCTCTATTAGCATTATAATTTAATTTTTGTTTTAAATATTTTTGTTTATAATATAAATTTTATAGAGTAATTGAAACTTTTTTCAATCATATAACTATTTATCAAAATTATTAAAGTTTTACAATAAAATGTTTATCCCATATTTAATAAATAATTAATTTCTACATACATTTTTTATTTACATTCATATTCATATAATAAATTTATATCTATATTATTAAAATTAAATAAAAATTAAACTAAATAATTACGAAAATTTATCTCTAAATGCAAAGATAATACGGTTGTTTAATTTTCTTTAAACGTAACCTCTCTTCACACTTTTTACATTTTACTTCTTAATACATTATCTTAACTTATAAATATCTTATTACAGACATCAACACGGCTGAGAAGGATAAACTGCTACATACTTTACAAACAGTCGGTCACCTATCCAATAAAGCTGCTCGACGTGTATATCTAAACATAGTAAACCACCTGAGCACCATCAAGAAGGACGGTTTATCGACGTATGTTAACAGTTTAGTTGAATTCCTTCGACTTACAAAATATCTTCACTCTGTCAATGAAAAACCACACGCTAATGGTGAAGTAAACCAAGAACCACATGACGAAAAAGAAAAGAGCGAGTAAAAAAGCACGCTTCTATCTCATGTTTATATTTATTTTTAATAATTATGCGCATATAATTGTTGTTTGTGTAATTTTGGTAATTTTATAAATATTATTAAAAATCGAATTACTGCGGTCACACATGCTAATTTCTAATTGCCGAAATAGTAATCGACATGCGAAAATATTCCGCATTAATGGAGGGTTAAACATTCCTCTATGTTATTCGCTAAATATGAAATATTAAAAGAATTGTAATTAAAAAATGAGGTAATATTCATAAAAGAATTAGATGTAGAATAAATGTATAAATGAGATTTATATTTATATATTTTGTATAATCTCTATGAAAATGTGAAAATAGTTAAGTAAGGTAATCAAAGATACAAATGCAATAAATTTCACAGATTGTTATCACAAATATTAAATGAAATAAAATAAATTTTAAATAGCCATTAAATAATATAATTATAATTTGTGATGTATATGTATATATATTTAAAAAATATATATATTTTTTATATAACTCAGGATCAGTATGCATAAATTTCAATGAGAAAGTATGGGATTTCAAATAATTATCGGATCTCAATATACGTTTAAATATATTTCTAAGATATAATTTTATGTGTGATATATTTTTATATTTATACATATAATATACATGTTGTATATATGTTATACGTATATAAATAGAAGTGCTCCGTTTGAAAATTGAGAACGCTATATTGAGATCTTTCAAATCACATAATTTTCTTTTAATTATTACACAGAAATTTTCACATATTACCATTGACACAAAAAAGATATTTTTCCAATTTTAAAAGCAAATATTGATATGCATTTTGTATAAGAAAATATGTAACAAATATAATAAAAACGATTGCAATAAAAATTTATATTTTGTACATTTAATTAATACATTATAATTATTACATTTTGATAAACATGTGGATAAAAATTTAATTTTTTAGTATTCATTTTCTTTACTATATTTAAATTGTATTACTTTATAATAAAATATTTTTTTATTATCAAAACTTAAAGAAGTTTAAACTTAAGAATAATAAATTTTACATTTATAGAAATTACTTTTCATTTCATTATTCTCTTTTTTATATTTATTAAAGTCAATAAGAAGAATTAATTTATTTCTGCATATTATACGTTTTACCTAGAAAATGAATGAACAATAAAAGTTATCGAAATAATCTATGCTTTATATTCGTTATAATGCGATTATTGTTTATTCGCAATGAATTATTGTAATTTTTTACATTTCTTGATCATATATTATCGCGAACGATAAAATTTCTTGAGCTAATGAAGCTAATTAACAATGAAACGAGCAGAGTGGGGATAAGATGACAATACGAATATTTCGAAGCAATATTAAAAAATTGCGTCAGATTCATTATAAACAGCATCATCGTTACTTCCAATTATCATTCTTCGTAGGGTCAACTTCGTGGACTATTCATTCGCTTTCCACGTGTATTATTTATAGTAGAAGAGTACAAGTGTTCGACCGCCACGTCACGGACGAATGTTGCGAGATATCTCACTGCGCAGAAGCATAAATGCAACCATAGACGTATCTGTGATACGTAGAACCTAACGTAGAAATGTAAGGATATATAATATGCATTAAACTGTCATATGATGCAACCGAACAAATAATAATACTGTGATGATGTAATGTAAAAAATATAAGAAATATTTATTTTAAATATGAAAGATAAAAATAGTTTTTTGAAAACGAGTTTCTTTATTTAAAGAAACATTTTAATACTTATTTAATATATTTAATACTTAAAAATTAATTTAGAAATTATTTTTGTTGTTTTATTAAAAATGTCAAATAATTTTCTAGATTATGCTTAAATCAAGCATAGATATAAAAAAATATATAATAAAAGTATATTAACATTAGCTGAAGAAATCTCAATTCTTTCTCTAAGATTTAATAATGAAATTAAGTGATTCTATTCTACTAATAATAAAATAAAATAATATTTGCCCCTCATAATTTCCCTATTTCTTGTAAATATAGAATAAAGTTTTTTCTTCCAAACAAAACGGATGTAAAATAATTTCTATTTCTACACAATTCTTTTCTATACAATTGAGTGTGTCTAGTAGATATAGCTTCGGAAGGTTAAAGGACCTAGGAAGATATTTGACGTTACTGTTTCGATCTCCCCTCTTAATGATGTTCCCTCAATACGTTCCCTCAATACCGGTTTTCACACAGATATAACAGCAGTCTTATCCGGTGTCTTGTGTAAGTCGGTTGTATATCGCTTTCAACAAATTCTCCTCAGCAAGTCATCTAAAAATGTAAGTATTTATTATAAAATAAAGTAAAATATATAAAATAAGGAAACAATAAAATTGAGATATTGAAAATTGAATTAAATATTTCAATTTGCATTATATAAAATAATACATTTGCTGACACAATATAAATAAGTATTTATAAAGTAATGTATATTGCAAGAAAATATTGTGCTTTCTTTTATTTTAATGTTATCTTGCATTACATCTTTTAATATAATTGCTATATGAATAGCATTTTACATTAACTAACTTATTTAATAATTATTAGTGATTGTTATTATATTAACTAACACGTTTTGTTGTATTTTAAATATTCAGTGAACAATTAACATGTAATTACATATGTATAATGATAAATTATATTCACATAGTAATTTAGATACTCATATAATATTATGTTGAGGTCGAAATGTTGTGTATGATTTCGTTTCGAGTAAACGGTTGTACGTTATAACTTGATATTTCACAACAAACATCAATAATCTTCTAAGACAAAAGAGAAGGTTTGGTTAATAGATTATTCCCGTATATACGCAGAGAAATTAGCACTCTGATTGTCGCAATATATTACATAGACTCTAAGTTATAATAAATAGTTTTGAAAAATAATCTAAAATAATTAATTGTATAATGTGGAAATAATCTTTTAAATACAATTAGATATTTTATTAACAGTTCTATAAACCAAATATATAAAAAATCACACAATTTTTCATTTAACAACAGATAAAATTTTATAGAGGAATTATGACATATTAATTAGATTGAATTAATAAAGTTGAAATTACAAGAAAGATGTAATAAAATGTTTTCTATAGAAAGCGATATATTTAAATAAAGTCAAGAAAGATGCAAAATATAAGGAAGACATTATTTTCAAATAAATGTCTTGTACAGATACGTTTTGTAACAGTTGTGACGCAGTAGCAACACGAAATTTTACTTTACTATTTCCTCGTCTGTTCCAGCGGATGAGTCATGTATTACGCGCATAATCTCATGATCAGTTGAGTACATTAGTTCGTGTAATGAAAATCTAAATATTTTATTTTGCTTTACATTTTACATTCTTTTTTTCGGCACTGTTCTGCACATGTAGATAAATGTGTGAGATACCATACTGAAAATTTATGGTATCACACATATGTAATATTGTATATGTCTCGCAATGATTTTATTCATTGGCATATTTTTTGTCTTGCTCTTTTGTTTTTTTAATTCGCCGATCACACGCATGTAGATGCATTAAGAAAAAGATGGAGGAAATTTGATCATTAAACTATATATAAACGATGGTATCAAAGTACATATCTGGCTTAACACATACTTAGATAACGGGATGAATGACGAGTCTGATTCACCGGCTACCGAAGGTACAAAGATCTCTGCAAATAAATACTTGCTGGCAGCATTACATGCAATTCTCTTTAAAATATTTGAGTGCATACTCGAGCATGACGCACATAATTACCGTCGTACAACCACTTACATAAAATTAAAAAAAGTTTAGCACAAATGACTCAACATTGTCTTGAATTTAATTGACATCCGCTCATACCATCATGCACTGTTACCATAATTTCACAACATTTCTATAGTTTTTATTTTTACTACATTATATTACTGTATTAATATATTTGTTCGAAAAATGGCATAAAACAAATTTTGAAATTTGAATTGTAAATTTAAGGAGGCACAGTCTTTAAAGCTCTATGTATGTGTGTGTGTTCGCATATATACATATATCAGATTTGAATATATTTTAATACAAGTATTTTATCAACAAAAAATTTTTTTTTTATTTGATGTATGCCATTGTCGATACATGATGAGCGATATAAATGCCACTTTTTAATTTAATTCGGTTTTTGCAGAAAGAATGGCGGATGCTGCTAAAACAACATCAAACTCTTCCGAAGGTCCTCGTCTTGAGGTGCTGGACAGAGTGAAAAATATTCCGGTAGTTCATTCAGCGATCGAAAAGACAGGATCTACATATTCTTACGTTAAAGATTCTCACCATTTGATAAATTGGGCGTTGAATCAAGCCGAAGCAGGGCTGCACTATGCGACCGCCACGGCCGCACCGCTTGCTGCACCCTTGGCCAAGAAATTCGAAGGACAAATCAATGCTGTCGACCAGAAACTATGCGAGGGATTGAACATAGTCGAACAAAAAGTTCCGATCGTGAAGAAACCACCTCAGCAGGTAAGGAAACCTAACGCTAAAGGAAACCTGTTCCTTTTCAGTGGGGCAATGATCTCTTCGAACAGTAGGGTAGCTACACAAAAATCTAGGCACGTATTATGGAATTGTTCGGAACAGATTCCGATCGGAATCAATATTACTCTCTAAATTTCTATTATATTTTCTAGAAAAATGGAATTATTCCATTTTCCTTAGAAGTATCTATTCCAATAATACGAGTATGTGGCCTGAGTTCCTTTAATCCTAGAAAAATTTTTTCTTTCTGATGTTTATTTAAAAAATTTGATTCCATTGTGTATCTTAATTTTTTCTTTTAAAAATGTTAATAAAATAAAAATAAATAAATAATAAATACATATAATTCATATAAAATAATCTGACTCATGTGTATTACTTGTTGATTAATAAATCGCTTTTCGGTATTTATAGATATATGATGCCGCCAAAGCGGTTATGAGCAGCTCTCTACAGCCGACCATCGAAAAACTTAATACAGCAAAAGAATCAGCTACGCAACAGGCATCTACGTTAAAAGAGATCAGTATAACTAAAGCGAATGAACTCCTAAACACGCAATACGGTAACATGGCTGTACAAGGCGTTGATAATACCAGTGTACTTGCCAATCGTTTATTGGATCATTATTTCCCACCGGTGGAAGGAGAAGAGAATGCACCACGTATGTTCTCCAAAACTTCATAAATTTATCAGCATTATATTTATTCATTAACCGGTATCGTTTTAATGATCAAGACGACGTTATTACAGATCCTATTTCCGCGGAGGAGAACAAAGTTCTTCATGCGGTGCAAACGATTGGACAACTGTCAACGAAAACTGCTAATCGCGTTTACCATTCGGTTGCCGCTCAATTGAAGACAATAAAAAAGGAGGACGTAGCGACGTATATATCTAGCGTAGTATCCATTCTCCATCTCACACAATACTTGCACCCTGGACAGGCAGATAATGAGACAAATAGTTCGACGGAGAATAAAGACGAAGAGAAAAAATAAACCGAAAGACGCTTCATTTGTTCAATATGTTCATTTGCATCCAAATCGATACATAATTTAGTTAATTTGTTATACATTTCAAAGGAAAGTATTAAAAAAAACATAAAATAAGAAAAAAAGGCAAAATTGGAATGATATGGAAAATTTTTGTTTATATAAATTTTATAAAAGTTTAATATGGTGTATATATATTTTTGAGAAAACTTTTAATACTTTTTATAACGAAAGCATTATTTTAAAAATACGTTAGTACCAAAAAAAGTATATAATGTTTTTAATTCGAGCAAATTTAAAATCAATGATTTTTGTTGATTATTCGGATGTATTTATATACTATATTTATAATACATAAATTACGATTTTGTGGTTAATAATAAGGTATATAATTTTAATATTTTCTATACATGTGACAAATTTATATTAATGAAAATTGTAAAGTTTTATTAGCTTTTACAATTATTAGAAAGAAACAAAACTTATCTCCACCGATGCATCATCATTATTAGAATCACACTTGTTAATGCATAACATATAAATGTGTTTTAAGTAAAACATATCATATTGAAGAACTGTGAATGGAAGACATAAATGCAAACATATATTTTATAAAGTATTATGTAGATACACATTTTAAAATATAATTTTAGAGAAAACATTGTTTATATTATTATTTATCCTCATTGATTCGAAATGTAGAATTTAGAAATTGCAAAATTTGATTTTTTGTAAGTAGAGTCTAGGAATTAATTGTAGTAGAATGCGATTATTTCATTCAAATAAGGATTACTTCTTTATCTGTTTGCTAAGAATTACATCTTTCCTGTATCTATTTTTTATTATACTATAATCTTATGAAAATGACAAAATTGCAATTTTTTTTTTAATAAGAATACTTAAAATAAATCAAAATTAGAACGATATAATCTTTTATATGTCTATTTTTTGGAGATTAATTTATCGAATTTAAATAATAATATGTTTAGCGAAATAATGAAAAGTCAAGTAATGATTTCTAATTAAAAACAAAATTATTAAATTTTTTAAATAAAAAATTATGATAAATTATAATAAATTTTTTTAAATAAAAAATTATGATAAAGTATAATAAATTACGATAAAATTTAATAAATAAATTTTAACAAAATTTATAAAAATTTAAAAACTAAAAAATTTCATATACATGTATACATATATTTAAAAATTTATTTTTATTTGTGTATAGATCGTTTCAGTTTTCACTTTACCGACGCACGATTGCTCCGAAATGAACTATCGAGAACTTAATAACAGTAGCGGCGTAATCTCGTGGCGGACAACAGTATTTCCACTCAATACCGGGTGATAAAAATTGACAGGAAATAGTGTAATCTCGCTAGTACGTTAAAGTGTATAAATAATTGAACTCGCGGTCGTTTGTCGGAGTAAACAAATTTCATAGTGAAATGAGTCAGGGATCAACGTGCAACTGCAGCGATGTTTGAAGAGAGAGACAACGAGAAAAGAGAATAAAAGAGAGAGAAAGTATAACAAAGAGAGAGAGAAATACAAAGCCATAGGGCAGCTGAAGGGAAGCTGGCGTCCAGTGACTGTCGCAACGATCGCGTCGGGTAAGTGTCAAACTAACGATTTCGCTTTATCACATCGATCGGAGCATCTGTCAATTCACAACTGTGACATTGATCTTGAAACGCATATGTACGTTTCTATAACTATACTCCGACGTTTTCATCGATCGAGAACGCGAACAATGAGTCGTAGTAAGCCACGCGCATTCCTACCGCTCACTGCTTTGTACTCCAATCACGATACTAGTTCTCGCTTAGTGTGTTTAAATGAACTTTTTCTTCTTCTTCGCGAACGCCTGCGTGTCCTGCTTGAATTGCAATATATAGCAGAATGTATTAATGGAATCTGAGTTAGTATTTATTATCGAGCTGTAGATAGAATGCTTAATGTAATAATGACACTTATAATGCAATAACAATAGTAAAGAAATTTAATTGACAATGATTTAAATATTATAGTGGAAGACAATTGCTTCTATGTTCGTATACTATTCATTCTTTTTTAAATTTGCATTTTGTATAAATAATTCATGCACACAGTTTATACTTTCATAAAGTTCATAATGCTTTTGTGTCTTTCTTAAATGTTTGTTTAAATTTATTTAATTTCATTTTTATCCAGTTCCACACAATGGTCTTGCTACATTTATTAAAATTATTTTTAAATCAAAAACTTAATTCTAATTGTTAGAATTATAATATCTTATTGTTACAGATTGTGTGGTCTCAAGAATCAAGAGGTTATTCGATGAGAAGAAGGTTTCGATTTAATTATAGCCATGGATGCAGAACTCTCGGATCAATTATATCGAATTCAAGCTGTTGATCGGGCGCGTAAAATACCCAGTGTGAATTACTTGTGGGATAAATCTACAGAGGTGTACGAACGTGTAAAAGGCACAAACACGTTTGTAAATTGGGCTTTTGACACCGTTGAAAGTATGTTGAATACGGTGATAGAGAAGTCCCTGCCAGTTGCTCGACTGATGGAGAAACCAATTTATACGCTGGATAAAACATTGTGCCAGGGCATTGATTTTGTCGAAGGGAACCTGCCGATAATTAAAGAAGAACCCAAACAGGTTATACATATTTCTATCCACAATATGGATCTTTAATTACTTGCGTATAACAAATCAAACTAACAAAGACTCCTTATAAATCAAAAGAAATTGGAAAGAATAAGGGCAATAGGAGTCAGGCGCAGAAGACGTCGCGCAAATAATACACCCATAAAGCGTAAAACTTCTTTATTCTACTAAACGCGCTTGTGTTTCGGCTCACTTTTGAGCCTTTTCAGAGACAACACAAACTAACATATATAAAATGTGAATAAAAGTTATCTTGTCATGGTGAGCTCCCCATGATCACAAAGCACCATATATTTGCCAGTCAGTATCAGATACAGTGAATCACTTTTAGATTTAGTTAGTCTTTTTCGAGATATTTAATCTGTGTCTGATACTGTATCTGATACTAACTGGCAAAAACATATCAAGAACCGGTTTTTGAATTATTAATAGTAATGTTTATGATATGGTGCTTTGTGATCATGGGGAGTTCACCATGACAAGATAACTTTTATTCACATTTTATATATGTTAGTTTGTGTTGTCTCTGAAGAAGGTTCCAAAGTGAGCCGAAACATGTAAGCGCGTTTAGTAGAATAAAGAAGTTTTACGCTTTATGGGTGTATTATTTGCGCGACGTTTTCTGCGCCTGACTCCTACTGCCCTTATTCTTTTCAATTTCTTTTAATTACTTGATTTTAAATTTATAAATGCATTCATCTTTTATATTCTTTCTTTTCCAGATATTAAATCGCACCAAATCTATGGTATCTGAACATCTCCGTCCTGCGGTAAAAACTTTTACCGATTTAAAACGGGAAACCAAGCAGAGAGTAAGGATTATGACTTTACTTACATATTATAAGGTTCACTACCTACGTATCTACAGCTGGCAACAAGCCGACAGGGTCATGTCAACTGAAACTGGTATCAATATTTTGAAGACTGTTGATAACACTACTGATTTTGCTGAAGTTATGTTGAACAAGTACCTACCTCCATCGGAGGAAGAGATTCATACAGATACAGGTAATGTTATGTACCGATTGTTACAAATATAAATTTAACATAATAAAATTAAAATTACGCTACCTAGTAAATTTTTGTTTATGTCTTTAAAATGGAATACATATAAAAATATGGAGTATATAAGAAAAGTGTACTTTTAAACAAAAGTTATTACGCATGCAAAATATGCAACAGCTGAAAAAGACTCTCTTTCTTAAATGCAAGTCAATCGTAATCGTACACAATAGACATAAAATTATATAATAATACCGCATTTAATTAATTAAGCCAGAAAATATTTTTCCTTTAATAATACTAATTAATTTATATTTTTAGAGCGTTTATGTAGCGAACACGTTAAGCTGCATCATACGATGGAAAAATTGAGCGAATTCAGTACACGAGCATACAGACGTATTTATTACGCATTAATGGAGAGGTTGCAGCACATGTATAAGATAGAAATACTTATTTTGGTATTACATGTTCTTGTGATCATTCAGGCGATCAAATTTTTGGAATCGATAGTGAGTTTAATTTTTAAATTACTTAGTGATTGCCTCTTTTCGTCTTAGAGATACGTTCTAGTCCGTTTTATAATCGTATATGCAATAGCACTTAAGAAATCAGACTATTTTTATTACTTTTACACGAAATTATTCCCGAGTATATTTTACTTGCAAACTGCGAATTTTACTTAATGAGAACGTCGTGAAACGTGTGACTATTCGCGGAATAATTTCATGGTCCAAAATGGATTAAAAAGAAGTTGTGCTCTCAGCCATGATATATGGCAACTTTTTCTCATGATATTTCGCATTTGCACATTTCCGACTTTTTAAATAATCTTCCAACTGCCGTTTATTAAGAGAAATAATCCAATTATTTTTAAGAAGAAACTAAATCTCTATATATATAAACTAATTTTATAGAGATACTACTCTTTTTAAATATATAGGATGTTTTAATGCTCTTTCTCTTAATCGTGAACATTAACCTAAATTAAAATTTCTAAATCTAACTATTTAAATTAAAATTAAATTTTAATATAATAAAACGTTAAATTTTGAATCATAAACTTTTAAATTAAAAATTAGGAGATTTTGGTACATTAAATAAGGAAATATAAGAAATCATAGAGTTTATGATAAATTATTTAAAATGGCATTTTAATTTAAAATTACCAAAAAATATAATAGCAAAAGGAAATACATGTAATAATGGTTATATTATATAATATCTTGTGTATTTATTATCGTTTTTCCTTTGCCGTGTTTTAAATGTGTGACATAGGCTAAAAGAAAGAGAAAAATATCCCTGTTTAAGCATTTATCTTTATATGTATTTAACCATTATGTGTTATACTCAGATTTTTAATCTAGTTAATAATGTTTCTAATGTGTGTGCTGGTCGGATTGTTAGATT